TAAAATAATCACTTAATCATCGGTATAATAATAATAATTATTATTACTATTCTGGCCACGACAATTACAACGAATCATAATAATTATAATGATAATAATAATTATAATAATAATACAAATGATAATAATGACTACAACAACGATTTCAACAGTTTGATTTCTTAAACGAAATTGAAATTTGAAAACGAAACTGAGAACCTTGAGGTTTGGTAATTATTATTATAAATATTATTATTATTGTTCTTGTTGTTGTTGTTGTTATTATTATTATTATTACGATATAATAAAAGTGTTATAATAAATATAATAAACAGAAATTAAAGTCAAGTAGCATGGTCATTCGGGAAGGCCAATAGTCTAATACTTGCTTTTTTTAAATTCATATTTCGTTTGCTTAATTATTTCTAAATGTGTTCGGACAAACGATGATGAGTAGGATGATTAAGTGATGACGATGATGATGTTATTATCTCTAAATATGATTGGTCAACTGGTTGTTAGCATTCGTTGGTGAAGATGACGATGACGATGGCGATTTTGTATTAGTTTTATTTCTTAACGATGATGTTGGTGATGAAGCGTAGAGTTTTATTGAGTTACTCATTATGTTATCCAAATCTTCATCAGGAACACACACCTCCACCACATCTTTCTCCACGTTTAACGCAACCACGGGTATTGTGGCTGTTGCTGCTGCCACTAAAACCGATGTGGCTGTTGACGCTACTTCAACTGTAGAAGTGGCTGCATTTTCAGGCGAAAGCTCGTAAGAAAGAACCTCGAATGGGTTTGAGAATAACCTTCTAGAAGGCGTTATTGTTGGCGTTTGTTTGTTGTAGATGATTTGTGGGTAGAAGTACTTGCGAGGTATGGTTGTGGTAGCTGCATCACTCGTCAGCCGCTGGTGTCGCGACGAGAAGCTGGAGCATATGTGTTGCCTGAATTTGTAACAAATGAGTATGACTGGGAGGATGAGTGTGAAGAAGATGACAACGACGATGCCCAGAGATAATGTCAGGTTGGATCGTCTGTGATAGCCGTGGATACTGAGCAAGATGCCTGCGTACGTGTGTTGTATGTGTGTTTGTGTGTGTGTTGTGGGCGAGTTTGTGTATGTGTGTAGTGTGTGTGTGTGTTGTGTGTGTTGTGGGCGAGTTTGTGTATATGTGTGTTGCGTGTGTGTGGGTAGTGTGCGTAGTGTTTGTGCATTTGTTGGTGTGTGCGGTGTTTTCACATTTTTGTTGTGTTTGTTTTAGTATTTTTATATTTTATAGTTGGTTGGTTTGTTTGTTTATGTTTTGGGGTTAGGTACTACTGATAACACTGATGACGATAATGATGGTGGATGGTAGTGTTCATGACGTGGTGATGATGATGACGACGACGAAGAAGAAGAAGATGATGATGTGATGATGATGACAGTAGCGAGGACGATGACGAAGTATAAACTTAAATATTTTGAATAGAAATATATTCGTGCAGGTGGCTGGAGCCATATATGATAACATTATGATTGTATATTGCTGTGTGTGAGTTTTTGTTTGTGTGTGTGAGTGTATGTGTGTGTGTTTGTGTGTGTGTTTATTGATATTTTTCGTTTTTTTTAATCAAATCGACATTTTTTCTAGTCTAATCATTTTAACTAACAGTGTCGTCCTCATCATATCATCATTATCGTCATCGTACTTATCATAATTATCAGCAACGACATCAACTGCCACTTAAACTAATGCTACAACGACATCAACTGCCACTTAAACTAATGCTACAACGACATCAACTGCCACTTAAACTAATTCTATACCACTACAACTACTGCAGCAGTAGCTGTTGCAGCCACTACAACTACTGCAGCCTTACTCACCAGTCGGAATGAAAATGAAAAAGTTGACGAGAAGCACAACAATCCACATGTACCACGGGCATCGACATCTCTTCCTGCTTTGACCATCTTCTTCTTTCTCCTCTTCATCACTTTGACGGCTGCCTCTACGATTGTTGTGGTCGTTGTGGCTGTTGTGGCTGTCGCCGAAAACTACACTTTCGCGGCCGTATCCAATCAATTCATCTAGGTTTTGTTATGCAAGGTTAAATGAATAATCTTTTTTTCAAAGGGTTATTGATGTTTTTCTTATATAGGGATGTTAAATAATATTATCATAGCTGGTAATGAAAATAGCAAAATGTTTGTATTTTATTTATATGATGTTATGTCTCTGTCTGTCTGTTTGTCTGTCTATCTCTGCCTGTCTGTCTGTCAGTCAATTAATTAATTAGTAATTTTAAAATAGTAATAGGAAGAAGAAGAACAACAATGATATAAATAAATATAATAATTTGGCCATAAAATGCAAATGATTCAAAGAATTGATACAGCAGTTCACAGACACACCGAGTGAGAGAGAGAAAGAGGAAGTTAGGAAATTAGAGAGAGAGAGAGAGAGAGAGAAAGTTAAAAAGAGAGGGAGAGAAAAAATGAAAAAAGACGGAAAGAGAACAAACAGACAAACATACACTAGAAAACAAACACACGTACGCACAGAGAGAAAGATAGAGAAGGAGGGGAAGAAAGGCAGAAAGTAAGAGAAGGAGAGGGAAAGAGATTGAAAGAGAGAGAGAGAGAGAGGAGAGAGAGACAGTACTAGCAAGTTCAGATTTCATTTTATACTGCATTACATCGAAAGTGATTGCGTAAATCGTAACGCATTTAATAGCAGTGTAAGCAGACGCAGATAGAGCCAGACGTGACTAATTTTTCGTTATTGAAATAAAATTATTTAATGTAGTAGTAATAATTAAAAATTATGTAAATACACTCGCGCATGTACGTAGTATAACGCCCCATTCACATCAATTTTATAAACACCACACACAGACACACATTCATACAAACATTCACACACACACATTCACACACGCACACACACACAGAAAGTTATGTAAGCGTGTATGCATTTGCATACATAATTATGTATAGTATCCCCATTTATACCTAGGGTATAATACCTGGTATTCACTTAGCGTATATCTAAACTGCTACACGGCATATATAAACCAAGTGCTAAATACACAACACACACACACAAACAAACAAACAAACACATTATTTATTATAAGCCTAGATAAAACATTCATACAATCAAAACTTGGGTTTAATGCTCGCTAAGCTAAATACTTTTTAAAAAAGATGGAGAGAGAGAGAGAAAGGAGAGAGAGAGAGAGAGAGAGAGAAAGAGAGAACATCCATATTACAATTTATAGCAAAGATGAAATGACAGAGATTAATAAAAGCCATGCATTTGGGTTAAACAGTTACATACAACATCAATACATCTATGTATAATACCTGAATGCTAGAATTATTATAAATAAATCATTTAAACCAGACGTTCCCAGCTCTTAACAACCCCCAAACTAAAGAAACCAAAAATAATTATTTGAAAAACATATTTCTATTTGATAAGACAGCATAAACATGTTTGTTTGTTTGTTTATTACATTTTATAAGTTGGACATTTATAACTAACGAATACAGATTTCAGTAAAAGAATGTGACAAAGATGTTTTTTAAATAAAGGATTCAAATGTAATGGAATTGTGTTGAAAAAATCGCCAAAATCACTCCCTTTCACGCAATTACTAATGTTAAAAATTAACATTTAACAGCACTGGTATAGGCAGAGCAGAGTATAGAAGGAAAAATCAACTCGTATAACTAATTGGAAATGGTTATTATCTTCAGATCATAATGTTCCAGTAAACAATCATTCAAATTATCGTCAATTTATATGTTTAACGAAAGAGGAAGAGAGAGAGAGAGAGAGAGAGAGAGAGAGAGAGAGAGAGAGAGAGAGAGAGAGAGAGAGAGAGAGAGAGGACTGGAGAGAGTAATCTTAACACATCATAATTTCAAACAAGAAAAATGAGCTCTTCAACGTAAAAGTTGCATTCGAAATATAATACATATCTTGAGGAAAACTATCCTTCCCTACGTTTAAAATTTTGTGATGGAAATTTTTAAAAAGAGACCAGAGAAACAATTTGGGAGAAGAGAGTGGGCTGTTTTGCAGGGAGGGTTATTTTGTATGGGCCTTCCTGCTATCTGGCCCAGGTCTCAGCCCTGTTGATACGAAAGGAGTTTTTTTTGTATAAGTTAATGAAAAGCAGATTTTATGAGATCATGAAAAAATAAATTTTTTTGCAACATAATAAAATTCTAAGCTCTCAAGTTTCAAAATGTCAACCTGTTTACTTCGCTCCAGAATTTATGACTTGCTATTTTGTTATTTTTATACGTTATAGCTGCTTGGGTGCGTTTGACGAACATCTTATTGTATATGAAGTCAATCCAGGTAGTAGTGGTTACTAGTTGGGGTTATTATTATTATTATATATTTAGAAAGAGAGAGAAAGAAAGAGATCAAAAGTAAGATAGAGATAGAGAGAGAGAGAGAGAGAGAGAGAGAGAGAGAGAGAAGTAAATAACGGCACCTATCTACGTAATACCTTTCAACGTACATTTAAACATAAATTGAATTCTATTAACTTTTAAATATTCCGATTTAACCAAACTCAGGTAACAATCAAGCGTCACCATGATCATCATCATCATCATCGATGACATCATCATCATCACCACATCAGAATCATCGTCGTCACATCATCATCGTCATCAGCATCGTCTCATTATCATAAAGACTATCATCATTTCCAACATATCGTTCTAATCATCATCATCATCACCATCATCGTTATCATGTTTCTTACCGCAATTGTTGGAGTCATCATCATTAGCATAACAATTTGTATGACGATGGCGACGAATATGATTATTATCACTATTGTTATTATTACTATTGTTATTATTACTATTGTTTTTATTATTATTATCATTATCCATTTTCAATTATAATTAAATGCACTTACTGTTTATAAAAAAAATCTCAACAGACCAAAATGGAAATTATCCAAAGGGACGAAAGTAACTCCTTGATTTATTTCATTTTAATATATATATTACAAATAAATACAAACTTATGCTATTAATGAATTATACGTTTCGAAGGATGCATGTATCATTGTTTTGTATATTCTTTCCTTCATTCATTATTTTATTCATTCATTCATTTATCCAATCAATAACTCAATCAGTCAATCCAACTGACGAATAACCAGAGAACAACCACCGATATTATCCATAATTATATCCAAATTATTTCATCCAAATCAAGGTAGTATCACAATTTTCCATTATAATTATAATTATCATTAAACACAATTACAATATCAATATTTACAAATATTAATATGTACGTGTACCCATACAATACAATGGTGAAAATCTGTTTTAGTGTGCTGATATACATATATCTATAGCTAGATACAGATATCTAAATTTATAATTTGTGTATGATTCACTATTGATATATATATATATATATATATATATATATATACCTATAATTTCTAAATATATTTCATTATATTAAAGCAATCCTAGGTAATGTTGTTCGACATAAACAGCGTCAAACAAAAATGCAAACTCTCTCTCTCTCTCTCCCTCTTTCTACCTCTGTTTGTATGTGTGTGTGTATGTGTGTTTTTGTGTGTGTGTGTTCGTGTCGTGTTTTTTGATGTTCAATGTTTTACGTTTTACTCCACGGTTAACTTTTTCAACTCATTTTTTACGTGCTTGCTCCTCTGGTTTGGTAGCAGAAATGGAGATGGCATTACGATGGTGACGATAAATTAATAATAATAATAATAACGACAACAACAATAACAACAACAACGGCAACGACATCAAAAACAACAACTGGAGATGGCATTACGATCGTGACGATGAATTAATAATAAAAACAACAACAACCACAACAACGACGACGACAACAACAATAAGAAGAAAAATATGAAATAATAAAAATAATAATAAATTCCACCTACCTTCTCCGGCATGGTTATCGATTAGATGCGAAATCGTTGCTATCCTGTCCGTAGAGTTCTTGTGGACAATCATGACCATTTCGATAAAGATTAGGGATGCACCGAAATTCGGTCCCGACTCCGGCCAAAATCCGGCTTTTTTTTCAAATCCGGCCCCGGCCGGATTTGGTGGCCGGATTTAGGGCCGGAGATTTAAGCGTCTATCAACTTTTAAAAATGTTAGAAATAGAAAAAAAATTTTATTGAATTCAATTAATTTTATGTCAATAAGTTAATGGCTAAGGCTAAGCTAAAGGCATACATGACACATAATAACAACATCACTAATTGTGAGGTGATCTGGACAATTTTCTTTATGCTATAACATGGGTTATGCATAAATTATAAGCTGATCTTTGTATAAAAGAACTTGTGCACGTGTATATACTATATATTGATAATTGCACATGACGGATCATATAGTTACATAATATATATATATATATATATATATAAATAAAGATATATATATATATATAAATAAAGATATATATATATATATATATTTAGAGAGAGAGAGATACATAAGCACATAATTTAAGAACATGGTATGTTAAAGGTTAGGCTAGGTATACATGACACATAATTACAACAACACTAATTGTGCGGTGAGCTGGACAATTTTCTTTGTGCTTTAACTTGGGTTATGCAAATTTGTGTACAGAATTTGGCGTATCACACAACTTATTCATATATTTGAATTAAATAACTATTTGCTTGGTGTTATTTTTTGATGTTCAAGATGTAGATAACCGTAAATGTGAGTATTTTTTCTAACGTATGTAAAATGGTAACTAAAATCCGGCCCCGGCTCCGGCCCCGGCTCCGGCCCCGGCCGGTTTTTGAATTTCAAATCCGGCAAAGTCCGGCCCCAGCCGGATTTGAAAAACCTGAATCCGGTGCATCCCTAATAAAGATTAATTATAAAGTATATATATATAAATGCATATATATATATATATATATATATATCAAGAGAGAGAGAGAGAGAAAGAGAGAGAGAAAAGAGAGAGAGAGTTATATATATATATATATATATATATATATATATATGAGTTATATATAAATGATAATAGACAAGATAACTATTATAGTTAAATAACATTATAGTTAAATGGACGGTTGGCTTTAAAAGTCCTCCACCTATATTTATGCAAATGTCTGTAGAATTGTATCGAGTTATTTAATCAATAAATAAAGCCAAATACTTGAAACTTATTTATTTAATTAATTAATTAAAAACAATCAGAGTAGATTTATTTAGTCATAACTCAAAATGGGATAGTATTATTATTGAATTGATTTACTATTATTATATTATTACTATATTTTTATTATTATTTTTATATTATTATATTTATTACCATTAATTGTAATAATGATAATAGTACTGTCTTCAAACTCAAAGAATTTACTTAAATTAAGAAAAAAAATTTCGTCGATTCTTCATATCCAAGCCAACAAAATCAAATCACATCTCACATCTACATATGACTACTGCCATTAATATTACATAAATATACTAGCTACACATGCATTTATACACGCATCTATAGTATTATACCATGTATATATATATATATATATATATATATATATATATATATATATATATATACAATAATAAATACGATACATACATGCATACATACATGCATACATGCATTCAATACACACACACACACACACACACACATATATATATATATATATATATATACATATACATTTACATCAATTTAGGTTAGAAGCCACCTTCATACATATAGTTAAGTTAGTTATTTGATATTCGAATCCGTTAAGGCATAAACGTTAAACGCCAGGGGCATATAGAGAATGCAAAAATATATATACATATGTACACACATGAATATATATACACACACACACACGTGTAACGACAATTTTTCAGGTAATGTTTAGTTTCGTTTGTTTTTCGTTTAATCATTCATTCATTTTTTCACTCAATCCTTTTAATCGTTCTTCCATTCATTTATTTTTTCATTCATTCATTCATTCGTTCGTTCGTTCATCCGTTCAAACAATCAATCGTTCGTTTGTATCGATAATATTAGTCTGGATTTAAAAATCATTCTTTAGCCAAGAATTTGACCGCTATTTAAACTGGAAAGAGAATGATTTCATGGAAGGCAGAGTACGCGTTTGTGAGCATGAATGTTTCTGTCTCCAATCCATTGGTCTGCCGCCTCTCATGTTCTGCTAACAATCTCGACCTATTTGGAAAAGATGCCGGCATGAGTTTGAGAACCTGCTCAATAAAGATTCCACTGGATGGATTATCGGTTGGAAACAGCAGCCAAACAACTCAACTACAGTATTAAAATCCATTCTCAGTCACGTGATAATAGCGTTCACTGTATAATGACATATGTTCTGTTCTATATGATCTACAACTGTTCTGATCTTACAATTATGTTTATAATGTTATTAATAATTAAGCAGTTAATATTGTTATTTAATTATTATTAGGTGACTTTGTTCAAACTGTAGTAAGAGTAGTTCTCATTAGATTGATTAATAATTGGCTAGGCACAGATGAAACTCAAATGTTAACAATGCAAAGCTAATTCCATAATTTGTGTTGTGTGTGTGTGTGTGTATTAGTGAGTTTTATTCCTACGTATTTTATCTTGTAGTTTATCTCAATTCTTACTTGTAATTTAATAATAAAAAAAAACCAGTTACATTACTTTTTAAAAAACTTAATGCTAGATCTACTTTTAAGATTCGTGTTGACTTTAATTAAATGCTGTGCGAAGTTTTTTTTTCATTTTTAGATGTCAAACGCGATTTTGTTTGATCATTTATCATTTAAATTAAATTCATAAATTATTATTTTTATTCACAATTAATAATATTCTAATTTATTTATTATATGATTCAAAAAGTTTTATCATTTTGTTTTTCAAACAATTCAAACTTGGCTAATCTGCTGATAACATATTATTATAAAAAGTTTATTTTATTTTATAATAATGTTATCTGCAGATTATTTTATAATATAAACTATTTAAATTGTTTAAAACAATTCATCAACTAATTTTTCATATATTTGAATTTAATTTTTTAAAACTAATTATTTATTTTTTTTATTCAGAGTTATTTGATAGCTGATAAATTATAATAATATAATCCAATTATGTTTTCGTTTTTCCGGAATCTCTCAGCAAAACACACTTCAAAGACAAGAAATGTAAATAAAATTATCATATATATTATATATAATTTATATTTTGCGGGAATAAGAAAATAAGATGAATAAATTAGTTTGAGTGAATGAATGAATATGAATGAATATATAAATAAATAAATAAAAAATGAATGAATGAATGAATGAATGAATAAATGAATGATTGAATAAATGAATGAAAGCATGATTGCAAGGAATGCAACTAAGTTGGAAAAGTATTATTTACTAATTACGTAATAATTTTACAAAGGATCAATATTCATCGCTAATATAATAACAGTTTCAGATCACATTCATTCTCCACAAAGGCACCAAAGCACCTCCATCACCACCGCCCATAAGTGTAAACGATATCAAACAGTATCAAACGTTGCGACAGAGTGTCTTTTCAGCTATCCAGTATCAGATATACAAACATAAGATCATCAGTGGATGTCTTGCTATAAGTGCTTCTGGTGTGGTATATTATCACACTCTGGATGGCAAGCGTAAAAGAAAATTCACCCTTTTGCTTTCTGGTTTCACAAGATTTTTAAGGTCTTTTGGTCATCATTTTTTTCTTACTTATCACTTTTTTAATATGATTTGTTTATTAATAATGTAATTAATAATATCTTTAAATTTAAACCAATCTTATTGTTTAATTTATTATAATATATATATATATATATATATATTTTATATTATATGAATTCAAATTTGTTTCATTTAAAATTTTGTTATTTTCAATACTTTCAAAATTTTAGGTCTGTCTACATAGGAACTTTGATTTCAATTGATTACAAATTGTCTTTGTGGGGCATTCAAGAAGTTAGAGACTATAGATATAATTAAAAATCCATTTAAATATCAAATATAATAGGAAAATAATTCTTTTTCAATTTAAATCAAATTAATTAAATTCTTAACAAAAATTCCTTTTCATAGAACTCGAGAGAATGGAACAAGATGATACCAGCTGTACACAAAAGATCGGCTGAGAGGGTACTTCAGGGCTGCCTTCGGAACAGTGGCCTCTACATCAAGTTAGGGCAGGGGCTGGTCTGCCTGAACCATATCCTACCCAAAGAATACATCGACACACTGGAGGTACTACAGGACCAGGCTCTTGCTCGAAAGAAAAATGAGGTATGAATATAAGGTCAGATTCCTCGTTCATTTGTTTATTCTCTCACTTATTTTTATTTGGCAGTTTTTAATAATGATAAATATAATATAATAATAATAAATATTATTATAATTATGATAATAATTACGATTATAATTATTATATTTTAGGTGGAGGCGCTGTTTTTAGAAGATTTCGGGATGAAGCCCATGGAGATGTTCAAAGAGTTTGATGATGTTCCAATCGCTGCTGCCTCTCTGGCTCAGGTGCACAGAGCTGTCACTCACGACGACAAGAAAGTGGCCGTCAAAGTCAGTTGCCCTTGTCGTTATATTTTTTTTCTGAGTTAAGGAGTGAGTGAATTAATGAATGAGTGAGTCGTCATTAAATGAATGAATGGATGAATAAGCGAATGAATTAATAAATGAATGAATGAACGAACGAACAAACAAAAGAACGAACAAATGAATAAATGAATGGATGATTGAATGAGGAGATGAATGAAGAAATGACAGATTTAACGGAAGAGTTAATGAATTTAAAGATGAATGAAAAGTGAATGAATACATGAATAAGGTAACTAAATCATTGCCTGAATAAATAATCAAATGAATTAAAAGGAACAAACGATCAAACGAACGAAAGAATGAACTGAACTGACTGAACTCATTCTCACAAATTAATTAGGTTCAGTACATAGACTTACAAGATAGATTTGTTGGAGACATAAGGACAGTTGAGCTGCTGCTGAAAGTCATAGAATGGATGCATCCAAATTTTGGATTTGCTTGGGTTCTACAGGTTGGAACCCTCATTCTATCAAACAATTAGTTAACCAGCAATCAAACAAAATCATTCTCTTCATTCATTCAGTCTTACATGAAGCAACCAACCAATCAATCAATTATTCAATCAAATAAAAAGGATCTAAAAGGTACCCTAGCCAAAGAATTAGACTTTGAGAATGAAGGAAGGAATGGTGAAAGATGCAGGCAAGATTTGAAGCATTTCAAATTTATATACGTTCCGAAAGTATATTGGATGTACACAAGCAAAGTTGGTAGATTGATTGGTCGATTGATTTTTCGGTTGATAATTGGTTAGTTGACTGGTTGGTTGGCTGGTTGGTTGGTTAATTGATTGGTTAATTGGTTGGTTGGTTGGTTGGTTGGTTGGCTGGTTGGCTGGTTGGTTGGCTGATTGATTGATCAGCTAAATTGATTTGATTGACCGGTCAGCGTTGAAATGATTGTTCGGTTTGATGGACTGATAGATGGATTAATTGATTGATTCTATTGGTCGATTGATTGGTTTATTGATAGATTGATGATACTAATAACGATATGATACTAATAATGATATCAATCAGTGATGATATCAATCAGTGATGATATCAACCAGTGATGATATCAATCAGTGATGATATCAACCAGTGATGATATCAATCAGTGATGATATCAATCGATGATGATATCATCACTGATATTCCAATTGATACTATAATGAAGAAATATTAATTATTATTATTATTCCTACAGAGGGTCTTGACGTGTGAGTACATTGATGGCTGCAAGGTCAATGACCTTGACAGGATCAAACAGATGGATATCACGGTTGCTGAGGTACTGATGATGATGACGACGATGACGAAGAAGATGATGATGATGATGATGATGATGACGATGATGACGACGACGATAACTGTTAGTACCGTCATAATTTTTCGATTAGGTCAACGAGAAATTAGTGAAATGTTTCTCACACCAACTCTTCCACACTGGATTCGTTCACGCTGACCCACATCCAGGCAATGGTTGGTTGGTTGGTTGGTTGCTTGGTTGATTGGCTGGTTGATTGGATGGTTGGTTGATTAGTTGATTGGTTGGTTGATTGGTTGATTCTTTGATTGGTTGATTGGTTGGTTGGTTAGCTGGTTGGTTGGTTGGTTGATCACTGATACCAGCTACTAAATAACTACTCACTCCAACTACTAAATAACTACTTACTTATTCCAGTTACTAAATTACTGATCATTTATTTTTGCAAGCCGGTTGATAAATTATTAACTACGGCTATTGAACCACTACTTGCTACTTATTCATTCAATTAATGACCACACATTTTTTATCTACACTATATTATTTACACTATACTCATCTTTGCCAACCAGCCCTCTAATTACTTATGTAAATACTTTATTTATATTACACCGTAGTATTTGTAAGAAAGGACAAACAGAACAGATGCCAGCTGGTTCTATTGGACCATGGTCTCTACGAATTCCTATCCATAAACGATCGAAAGTACCTCTGCCGATTTTACGAAGCTATCATGACAAGAAATGACCGCCAGATGGAGTTTTATTCCAGAAAACTTGGGGTCAAAGGTCAAATCTTTAATTTTGTTCTCGTTGTTACTCGAATAATAATGAAACGAAATGATCTTTTATTTAACAACAATTCTTAATTTACAAATTTATGACAAATAATAACGGTTCATACGCTTTTGCAAAACACGCTTGTTCCCTGAAAAATGTTCGCCACGAATGCCCCACAGATTACAAAATATTCAGCGAGATCCTGGTCCAGCGTCCAATCAGCATCTCCAGCATCAAGCTGTCTAGTGTGATGACCCCTGCCGACCTCGAGTACATGAGGGTCATGGCCCAGAAACATTTCGATAAGATCATGGCCGTCCTTAGAGATATGCCCAGGCCCATGCTGCTCGTCATTAGGTTGCTGGGGGTCGCTGGGATAGGGTCGGGGTCTGTTTATCTTTATCATGGATGCTTTATGAATTGCTATAGAGATTGATGGATGACTTGGTAGATTCATGGATGAATGCATGGATGGATGACTAGATAGATACATGGTTCAATGGATACATGAATGGATGGATGGCTGAATGGATACATGGATAGATGATTAGATAGGCGAAGAGATATATAGATGGAAGTAGTGCGATTAAAATTAAAATGCTTGCACTTCCTGCCCAGAAACTTGAACACCATCAGAGCGATCAGCAAACAACTCCACCATCCTGTCGATAGATACTCTATCATGGCTAGATGGTTCGTTCATTTGTCTATCTCTATCTATCTTTTTCTTTACAAAAATTCAAATAAATTATTCTTTAAACCAATAAACAGTGCTATTTCTGGCTCGTACAACAACAGATACACAACGAGCAAAAGAAGGAAGATCGTGAACACTTTGAAATACTTCTACCACATTTTCGTCTTCGAATTCAAACTCAGGTTCAATACAATGAGATTGTTTGATGGTGAAGTGTTTGGTCCGGTTTTGCAGTAACCGAGTTCGAAAGCAAAGCAATCCAACCTATCACACACATGTGTGATGAGTTGTTTAAATTAAGATGCATTTAGATTAAATCTTTTTTAATACGAGTTGTATTTTGCATGGGTTTTAAAAGAAATTGTAATTTATGGGTTTTAGCAGTTATTTATTACTGACAACATATATAATATCAACCTTTCTGCTATGATAAGTTTGTAGTAGCTTATATAGTTAGTTCTTTTAAAATGAAGAAATGGACAAGTGAGCGAGAAAATAAGTGAATGAATGAGTGAGAAAATGAATGACTGAGTAAATAAATAAATGAATAAACAAATGAAAGAATGAAAGAAAGGAGTGAAATTAATATTCTTTCATAATTGTCGGCAGAACTGATAATTTGAAGCAGAGGCTACAGCAGATGGTCCTGTTCGTCTATATAAGAGTGATGAGTCGTTTCTCGAGGGCACTCCCTCTTGAAGAGATCCAACGAATCATCACTACACAGGAAGAAAGTCGGTAGAGAGATAGCTGGATTTGATTGATTGGTTTATTGATTGATTGGTGTGTTGATTGATTAGTTGGTTGATTAATTGGTTGGTTGTTTGGTGTGTAGGTTGATTGTTTGATTGGTTGTTTGGTGTGTTGATTGATTGGTTGTTTGGTGTATTTGTTTAATGATTGATTGATTGGTTGATTAACTGATTGATAACTGAATGTTTAGTTGATTGATTGATTGGTTTGTTTGTTGATTGATTTTTTGGTTGACTAATTGATTATTTGATTGATTGGTATATTAGCTATATTGTTTGATGATTGGTTTGTTTGAATAATTTTACCTAAATTAATTTAATTATTCAGTAAATTTAATTTTTTTTTAATTTGTCACAGAAATGGGTAATTTGACGAAATAACAAGAACCAACTTTGCTCCATACATCCATCTATCCATCTATTCATCCATCTTTCAATCAATCTATCCATTTACCCATTCATTCACCAATTCATTCATTCATTCAGTCATTCTTTTACCCACCAACGTAAATTTATTATGCGTGTAATATATATATATATATATATATATATATATAATATATATAGAGAGAGAGAGAGAGAGAAAAATGTACTCATTTTTTTACATTTTGTATCAAAAAGTGTTATTCCTGAAAGTTATGTAAATAATACTGAGTCTATTATGTTTAATACTGCATTATATTATTGTAAAAAGTTTCTCTCTTTGTTTCTCTTTAGTTTTCTTTTTCTCTCTCTCTCTCTCTACATATATATATATATATATATATATATATATATATATATATACTACTACTACTACTGCTGCTTGATTATCACTACTTCTACTACTACTACTTCTACTACTACTCCTACTGCTGCTTAATTATCACTACTGCTACTACTACTACTACTACTAAATTATTACTACTTCTACTACTGCTGCTTATTTATTATTACTACTACTATTAATAACACTACTTCTTCTTAATTATTACTACTACTAATACTACTTAATTACTAATATTACTACTACTATCTCTACTGATGCTAAATTACTATTAATACTACTACCACTACTACTACTACTAACAATATTAATAGAAATCTTCAAATGTTTGTTCATTTGAAGAATTGCACACAATTGTATTGAAAAATGTCGTGATGTTATATTATTTTGACGAATTTGAAATCTAATTCCTATTAGCCAGTTGAGATAAATAAATAAAATGAACAAATGATACTTTGAAAAGTTTTTTTTTCATTTAAACCTCTCCTACCTCCATTAAAAAGGGGTTTCGACATCATCTGTCAAATCTAAGGCCACAAATTATATGATGAAAAATCTATATACGCACACACACACACACACACACACACACACACACACACACACACACACACACACACACACACACGTATGCAAACATATATACAACACACGTTCACACAGACAAACATACACACGCATGCATTCACCCGTACATTTACGTTTTGTAAGGCCTTTTATTAAAAATAAATTAAACAGATATAATACTATCCGTTTATCAAATCACAAATAACACGCACATACACACACACACACACACACACACACACACACAGTGAACGCTAATAAACAAACAAAACATACGCTATGCTATATGCTACCGTCAGCTTAACATAATAATATCGAAAGAATGATTGGAGGTTAAACAAGTAAAAATCAATTATTAAAAAAATGAAATATAATGATTTTGGCTTAATAACTAAATGGGTGTTTACATTTTACATTACTTATGTTTACATGTAAATGTGTGTGTGTGTGTATGTATGAACGTACCTATATATGTTTGTGTGTATGTTTGTATGATAGATATGTGTGTGCTTAATACTGAGACATCTGTGTCAGTTGGCGTGTTGTTGAAGCAGTAATAAAAGTTACTTACTGTGACTGTGGACAATAAATTTATCACAAACAAGACAAAAAATAATATTGATCGATAATGGATGGATGTGTGTTTGTATGTGTTTGTCCATATGTGTGTGTGTGCCTAAGTATGTATACATGTTTGTATGTATATATTGTAACGTAAAGCTACGTTGAATGTATGTAATAAGTAATTATGTTACTTTTTGTGTCCAACAAATCGATCAAAACGAGAAAATCATAAATTAACTTAAGACGAAAATGAAAGTTGACTTCACTTTATCGATTGATTTAATTTGATGATGTGGAAAATAGACTATAGATGGTTGTATAGGAATTTAATCAGTTTTACTTCACACGGACACAGATTGAGAGAAAGAGAGAGAGAGAGAGAGAGAAAGAGAGAGAGAGAGAGTATCTTTTAGTTTTTTCTTTTTACTTTCAATTTGAGATTTTGAGAGAGCCTGTCTGCTTTCTGTACTGTGATTCATTGTCCGGGCTCTTCAATTGTAGTTTTTCAATCTTAAAAGAATGATTTAATAAAGAAATAAATTCATGATTTAATAAAGAAATAAATTTGGATGAAAATGAAAAATAAATATCATAAATATATATATATATATATATATATATATATATATATATATTATATGATAATAAGGATAATAAGGATGATAATATATATTAAATTTGAATAATGTTATAAATTAATTTTATTTAGAATAATATAAAACAGGTTATTCATTAAGTTTCACTGCACAGGCATTAAACCAAAGATAATAGACGGAACGATTAAGCATAAACAACATATGCCACATTGTTATTCATCATCGTCAACATAAAATATAAATAGTTAAGCGTGTGTGTAGCTAAGAAAATTTGTTCACTCACTCACTTACACACACAAACAAACACACAATCACACTCGCACGCACATAAACACACTACATTCACACGCATATAAACATACTACATTCACACGCACAGACAAACAAACACACCACATTCACACACACACAAACACATACTAAACGCACACTTACACACCCATATAATAATACACAACAGCTGAAACAAACAAACATTGTTACCGTTACGTAAACAATTTTATTCACATTACACACACACACACGCACTCACACACGCACACACACACAATAAATGCCAGATGATGCTTTTATTAGTTAAATCATTCATTCTCAACGTAAATCTACGTCATCGTACGATCATTTCATTCAGTTTCGCTTTTGTTAAAAATTTGACATTGTTAAATCCAAATTTAATGATATAATGAACTTATCTTACGCCCCAACTTTGGAAAATGTATTAAAATTTGTAAAATTTTCGTGAGTAAAAGTCATATATTGGTAGCAATAACAGCAATTTTAGCGAAAATAAGAAGAAAATAAGAAGAAAAATATTATATTAACAGTACTTGTTACAATAAGTTACTCCGTTGGCAAGGAAACTCTTCTTAACGAGTTCAACCATCTCATCATTGCTGTAACAAACGTCTGGTCTAATGAATTTTCTTGACTCGCTGGATTCGTTGGATTTTCTATTGAGATCTGTCATTGGTGACTCTGTTTCGGTGGTATCTGGTTTGGTGATGGTATGGAGATGGTCTGATTATGGTCTAGTGATGGTCTGATTATGGTCTAGTGATGGTCTGATTATGGTCTAGTGATGGTCTGATTATGGTCTAGTGATGGTCTGATTATGGTCTAGCAAGGGTCTGGTGATGGTCTAGTGATGGTCTAGTGATGGGCTGATCAGATGGTCTAGAGAGAGTTTAATGAGGATATAGTGATGGTTTAGCGATGGTCTAGTGATGGTCTGGCGATAGTCTGGTGATGCTCTGGTAATGTTTGGTAATGGTTTGGTAGCGGTATGGTAATGATAAATTTACTCTGAATTTATTTCTGAACACAATGAGACGAAGCCTCTCACACTCATGTGCTGATAATAGCGTCGCGTATACATTTTAAATGCCTTACCGACTACCGATAAAACATACGTACCGTAAATAGATGCATGTTAGTTCATTAAAAACGTGTTCAATACCTCCTATACATACATGATACGATATATCGATTCTAACCAAGTCTGTACATGGTTAATATAATATGATAAAACGGTAGCGTATATATGCGTGTAGGAAGCTAACGAACTTTAAATTGTATGAAATAATTTTAAATACATTCAAGTATATTAGATAGTATCAGGATATACTATCTATACTATCGATACTGTATATACATTATGATGAAAGAGATATTTAAAAGTTTATAAACCTTTGTTATTTAACTTTTTCCCCAAAGTTGACCCAGTTGAACTTTCGCCTACCCCAAATGACCTCCTAGCCCTTGTCTGGCGTCGAATCATTGAACCGTAACGAGATGACCTTGGTGACGAGGACGAAGATGAAGATGCGTGAAAATTATGATGACGACGATGATGACGATGGGATACATTGTAAAGTTGTCTCATATCCTTATCTCCATCATCTCTATCTGGAAGTTTTGTTTGATTTGAATCGCTATGCCTGTATTTACTGCTGTTGCATTTGTTTCTCTTACTACTTGCGGCTATTGGGGTAGCAGCAGTAAGAGATGTGGCGTTGAGGTTGAGGTGGGTGCGTTCGTCGTGAGAAGAGGAGCTGAAGATGGTTTGACTGTCGGCGGATAACGTTGAAGGCGTGGCCAGGGTGTGATTGACAAGTTTGCTAGAATTGCGAGACTCGCTCAGTGATAGTAAATTCGTTTTGTTGCAGCGGTCAGTTTGACGATTATAACGGTGATGATGACCGTAACGATGACGCCGACGACAGTGATGATGATAATGGTCGGAGTCGCCATGGTGATGATGATCATTTGACACTTCATAGGTAGATGTTTGATTTCGCAACAGTTGATAACGTTGTTGTTGTTGCTGTTGGTGGTGGTGGTGCTGATGCTGATAATGGTCCGATCTGGAAATCAGTTGCGGATAGAATGGGTACTGCCTCAAGACATGGCTAGACACGTAAGGGTTCTCCCTCACGTCGTTGTGTCGACAGCAGCGGCAGCAGCTGAAGCAGCGACTGTCGGCTACCGGTGACGTCATATCTCGCGTCAGTGATGACGTCATATTTCGTGCTTTCGAGATGTTGTCACGTGATGAGAAAGGTGATTCGCGGCGATTGTGATGATGGTGGTGGTTTTGTTCATCGTTTGATTCGCTGATGGAGTTCAGTTGAGAGTTTTGGGCCGGACGCCGCTGGTTTTTGTTAAATTGATATTTAATAATTAACTTTAATTAGAAAAAAGTTTAATTAATAATGATAATTAATGCATTATTTCAATCACCATTACAATCTAAACTTTTAAAAAATAGAATAAATCTGTCTAACTAGCCTATCGATAATTTGCGTTCTAAACTTTTTAGAAATATGTTAACTTAATCAACATTAGAGCCATCATCATAGTCCTCTCATCTTCATCTCAACAACATTAAAAATAAAAAAAATCATAACACAACCCTACAAAACCTGCAACAGCTCAGGAGTGTTGTCGAAAAATCCGGAATCCTCTTCAACATTCCCACTCCTGTATTTCATCTTCCGCACATCTGACAACATTCCATCATCTGCACAGTTTTCCATCTGTTCTGACTGAATGGCGATACGCTGAATGGTGAATTTGACGCCGGAATTGATGTTGACGAGTTGCTGAGTTCGTTGTTGTCGGCTTTCCATACTTTTATTATGAGGTTTTTGATGTCTTCCGTGTTTAGATTCGGCGGAAGTTTTGTAACTCTTTCTCCTAATTTCGGTTTCGTGAGAGCTGTGGTAACTGTCTTTGTATCCATTGAACGGCGAGATGTACTTGTATTCGTTGTCTAAAATATCGGAAGAATCGAATCTACTGTGCTTAGATCTACCGGCTCTCCAGACGTTTTTAAGGGTTCTTGTCGAGTCGGTAGAACGAGCAGTTTTATCGAATTTCATAACCGACCGATTTTTGGTATGTCCATCTCTTGTTGGGCGGTGAGATTCGTCTGTAGAGTAATAAAGAGTAATGGTTAAGAATTTTGTTTAATAATAGGTCAAAAATTTATTGCATGAGTAGTAGTGTACTATATCAAGGAATGTTAACTTCAAACTCTTAAAAATACACAAAGAGAGGAAAAACCTATTTTACAACCAGTATTACACTACATACGGTATTTTATATGTAAAATACAACAGCATTTTTATTACAAAATTAAAAAATTTAGATACCTATATAAAAAATTATACAGCAAATAAATAACTTAGAAAATAAAATTTATTAATAAGAAAAATTTCTACATATGTTTGAAATTGTTTCGAGAAAAAATCAATAATTTTTTCTCACAGTTAAGCAGACTGTTCGTCTATACATCATCGCACTAACGTGATAAACGATTGAAAAATTATTTTAACTATTATTAAGTAAATAAAAAAACGTTTTTACATTTTAATTATTGTTATTATAATTATTAATATTATTTTAGTTTTAGATATTTTTAGGGATATCAACAAGGAACAACACAGCATATGTAAAATTTGGAATAGACGTTAATGGAATACAAGCAGGGGTGGGCAAACTTTTTGCGGTGAGAGCCACATTGAGAACTATTTTACCTTTGACCTTTTACTTAAATAGCAATATTTTTCTATTCGGGGGAGAATTTTTTTAAGATTTGTGGCTCCTTTTTTGGTCATAATGTTTGGCTGATGACCTTTTTTGGCGAACAAGGCCCAAGTCTGCCAACTCCTTAAATAGAGGTATCAGACAACATATAGCATGTGATAGATTAGGGTATCTATGTTTTCGAACACGTTAACTGCAAAAGAAGCGCCAGACGTCTTAAGAACGCAATTCATATTTTCGGTGCTAACGCAATCGTCTTTTCATTAACCAGTTATAATTATAATTACGATCCACACCGTCTCCAATATGAAAATTTAGATCGTTTGGTTTTCGCTTTGGATGAAATAAAAAAGAACTAGGCGAATATTCTATTATAACATAATGTGATAACGACGATGACTATGATGAATACAACAGATCAGGGTTATGATGATCGTGATATAATTAAAGATGATGTGGCAGCAACAACAACAAGAACATCATCAACAACAACAATAACAACAACAACTACAGCAACAACAACAACCACTACTACCACTACTTCAACTACAACAACAAAAATAACAACAATATTAATAATAATAATAATTGCTTGATAAAAAGATGATTGCCTTACCCAAAATATGAATTGCGCTCTTTATGTACATAAGACATGATAGAGAAAATAGCTTGTAGCGTGTGTCACAAAATAAAGATATTTATTTATTATTTATTTATTAATTCGGATGGAATTGGTGGGCTTAACATATCGCAATGATGATTTGTGGATTCTTGAAATCTATCAGATTATTTTACCTAACGACACCAGTCACGCATTGTTTACCGAAATTGCCCTGTTGTTATTTTCCAACGAGAATTGATTTTTTTTTAAATTATTTTTTGATTATATATGCGTTAATAAAACGTCTGCCTCTACATCTGCAATGTATGTGTGTGTGAGTCTGTCTGTGTGTGTGTGTATGTGTTTGTGTGTCAATTTATTCAGCCTCCAAAACCTTTGTTAGTTTCTAATTTGTTTGTGCAACGTGTAGCCAAATAATGATAATTCACCAATAATAAGTTTATTAAAAAATAAAGTTTATAAATGATTGGAAATTAATTGAAATAATTATGAATTTATTATATTTATTCGAAGAAATACTAATAAACTTATAATTCTTTGAAAAATGATTCAAACCTACAATTAAAACCAAGTAATTAGTAGAAAATAAACAAATACCTTTGCGTGAATATCTAGAATGAAAGCGGTTCTTTTTGTATCGCCCGTACGCATGGCAGAACATTTTCAAAAACAATTTAATGGATATGCATCGACAAAAAATAAACTGATTTAACTCTATATTGGATTTAAACAACCAAAGAAAGGTTGAAAACAGAATTTAAAATCCACTAAAAATGAAATGTAATCGAGATATCATTGAACTAAAACACGTGTAAGCAAGTATAAATGAAATGAATGTTTGAAAGTGAGTGTGGTATCATAACGTGATATGGTTTTGGCGCTAATAACAAAAGACCAGCCGAACAGGATTTTCTAAATATAATTTTTTTTCTAATAAAAACAAAACTTTTAAAATTTTCACATTTGCATAACCACTACAACTTTGGCATTTTATTTAAATTGTAAACTTCAACGGTTTATTTTCGACTTTGTATCAAGAAAGAGTGTCCTAAGCCCCTTGTGCTACTAAAATTAAAAATACATAAATTTATCCAGAGAAGAAGAGGAAACAAACAAAGAGAGAAAGAGACCAAGAAAGAGAGAGAGAGAGAGAGAGAGAGAGAGAGGAGTATAAGGGTGGGAAAGTTGTTGGAAAGATGTGATGAGAAACAGAGTTAGCAGCAACAACAAGCGCGTGTCAGGATATTAGTTTACATACTGGAATGCTTGAAACATGGCTACTTTTCCATCAACATAAAGATTAAAGATGGATTGATGGTGATCGGAAGTGGATGAATGAATGAATGAATGAATTAATGAATGAATGAGTGAATAAATGGACCAAACAAAGGAATGAATAAGTTTTCAAGTTTGTCGTGAAAATTTTTTCAGATAAGATACTCTCTCTCTCTCTCTCTCTCTCTCTCTCTCTCTCTCTCTCTCTCTCTCTCTTCTCTCTCATCTTTTCTCTAACCACAATAGAAACAATAGCCGCTATAGCACGCGTTGCATAACCATCCAATGTTCGCTGGCCTACTTTTATAATTATCGAATGACTAGCATCATCACCATCGTCATTATTATCATTATTCCTCTTATTATTATTATTATTATTGCTAATATTATTGTGTCATTACAATAAATAATAATGAAACTAATGAATAATAATAATAATAATTTTATAGCGAAAGTAAGCTGTAAGAAGATCAATATTAAAACCTCGAACAAGGAAAACACCTGCCATAAGTTTCTACCAAACGAGGTAAATTGTATAGATACCAAGCGGTATTTGTATTGCATTGTATACAAAATTCATTTCACGGTAAGTATGTATCTTCTTTGGATACATGTTTCATTGTATGTGTGTATTTTTAATTCATGTATCATCTGAAATGTATTGAGTATCTTGAATACGTGAATCACGGTATGTTTGTATTTCAATCTGAATGTATGTATCATTTTATACATGTACTTCCTTAGAGATCACATATATATACATGTGAATAAATAGATACCTTTTGGTATATATACAGATACACACAAAATGCGTATTTGCTTAGCACACAATACCCAATTTTCACGAGAGAGAATAATAGATACTAAAAAAGATACCCTGTATCTACGTATAGTATCAGTTTGGTTGAGATAAAACCCCTATCTTGATTTGTTTGTCTATGCAAAAGTTGTCTGGTCACGAGCAAATAATTTGGTTGGGTGTACAACACTGTACATCTGCCATTCGTGTTTGGATACTATTTTGAAAGTACAACTAACTGCATCAAAGAGTAACACAGTAATAACTTGATTGATTGATTGATTGAATGATTGATTGATTGGTTTATTGATTGGTTGATTGATTGACACGCCAGCCACTATAGCTACAACTGAAATATCATCATCAGAACTGCCATCATCATCTTACCACCGTTGTCGTTGGCGCCATTGTATTCGTCATCATCATCATCATCATCATCATCATCATCATCATCATTAACTGATTGAGATGACATTGACAAGCATTTAAAGACGCAGGTGGTTTTACATAATGATGATGATGATGATGAGGGGGATGATGAGGGTGATGATGATGATGGTGATGATGAGGATGGTGAAGATGATGAGGGAGATGATGATGATGGTGATGATGATGACGATGATGATGGTGACAATAAGAGTGATGATTAAAATGGTAATGATGATGATGATGATGAGAAGGACGACGACGACGATGATGATGATTGGAAAAATGGTGATTGCATGGAATGACGATTAAGAAAATGACAACTGTAGTAATGATGGTTAAAATGCGAACGAGAACATGGTAATAAGACAATGGCAAGTTTGGTGGTGACAACAGTATCTATAATGATCTTGATAATGATGATGGTGAGGATGGTGAGGATGATGATGATGGTGACGACCGTAATAAGTAGCAAACAATGGCCTGGCATGGCGTGTCACTTTTCAATTTAGCTTTATTTGGCAGACTTATATTTGTTCTTACCAGTGTGCGCTCGCGTGTGTGTTTGCACTTTTTGTATCTGTGTGTATTTTGTACGTGAGAGTGTATGTGTGTGTTTGCGTATGTGTGTGTGTTTGTTGCTCTGTGTACGTATGTGTGCATGTATGTGTATCTATCACTTTCTATGTACGCATGTGTGTGTATGTATGCATGTGTGTGTATTGTGTGTGTATGCATGTGTGTGTGTGTGTAACATACTATATGTTATATATACACACACATAAATAACACAATTTTGCATGGGCCTTGCCTAATTAGTATGTGTGGGATGATAGAGTGTTGTGTGTTTGTTGTTTGTGCAGGTGTGTATACATCATACACACACACACGTCATATGGAATACAGTGAATTAATGGAATTAATTTCTTGCATGAATTCACGTAATAAGCGGCACGCATATGTAAACAAAGCAAGATGAAATAAAATTATAAAAAATAATAATGACAATGAATTATTAAATTGTATAATAATAATAATAATAATAAGAAGAAGAAGAATATAAATAATAATAATTATAATTTACGCACACACCCACATGCATACACAAAATTAATTCTTTAAGTACTATAAATCACAAGGTGTTTATCAATGGTTCATTCATCATTGTATCATCACTAACTCTTCATCATCGCCAGTTTCTGGCATGTTTA